ATAAGCGCGAATTTCCGTTTTGATTGACCTCGTGATGATTAATCAACACTTCAAGGAAATTGGCGATTAATGCGATCACGCGCGTCGTATTGTCACAGATGGTTTTTATTGAGTCGATCGAGATTTAATTATCATTGGACTAAATTTCTCTCTCGGCAAGTACACCCCTCGTGATTTATTCGCAAACATGAAATTAGTCCAAGGATGAAACACGCTTTATATTTATTGGCGGCTCTTTTAATTGGTTAACGAAAGAGAAGTAATTTTTCTCGTGAACACATTTCTCTCATTTATCTCACGCAATATTGTTGCTATTGCGCAAATTATACGCCTCCAAAGATTATTTAGGTATATAATGACACGCAAACTTATTGAGACTACGACTTGCGTCTGAAATTTCGCAAATGCTCGACGTCAGTCGTTACAGAGAAAAAGACAATTATACAAGTTTTGTATGTAAAATTAATATACATAATTGAATAAACTTTATAGTTATTGCAATTATAAAATAGTTTATTCAATTATATATATATATATATATACACATATGTGCATTAATTGTACATATAAAATTTGTGTAATCGCCATCACTACATTGAAAGAAAAGATTGGCTGCTGTTGGAAATTAGATGATAAAATATGATATAGTATTTTTAATTGATTGCAGCAGCCAATTTTTTGTTGCAGCAGCCAATCTTTTTAATGTATGTCTTTTTCTCTGCAACGATTAACGGTGAGTACTTGCGAAATTTTAGACATAAATCACCTTTATAATTATTACCACCATATTTTTCTCTAAGTGTGGACTGCGCGAATAAAAAAAACGCGATGCAAGTTTCGCGATGTTGAGAACACAATTGTTTGTTACACGATTGATGAACAAACAGAGATGATTAAATCTGATTAAGTCTGATTAAGTCTTATGATTAAGTTGTCATAAACGATAATTTCATGCTGAACTGTCATGCTAAACTGCATTTAGTTATACATGGATCAAGTAAGTCATGTATTAATTTTTGTAACTAGCAATTATTTTACAAAATAAAAGTTACATAGAAAACTGAATGGAATTATCTTAAATATAGTTTTCGTTTTCTATAAAACGTAAATTTAAAATACAATACGTATTTCGCTTTTTAGGAAACACAAAGAAATTATTGGAAACATACGTTTATGATTGCAAAAAGCAGGACATCGTCTCGACCAGTGTCGTTTTTCATAAATTATATGCAAGACACTTCGGAGAATTTCGAGAAAGGATCACGTACGCGCGTGCACATACGTATGCATATATGTACGTAAAGGAATTATTCGTTTTTTATCATTTTTAATGTATGCCACAGGCAACATGCGAATCTCAGCAGGAAGCGTCAGATGAAATTTAATAACGAGTTTACCAGCTTCCCAAGTTGCCTTTTTAACATTCGGATCATATAAATCGTGGAATATAAATGATGTTAATTACATATTCTGCTCGTGTGATACTTGCTCATGTAATCTTAAAATAGTTCTTTATATCTTTATTTTTTATATCTTGTGTGTCGCACCAAACCGATAACAATCCTGGTAAAATAAATTCTTATATCATCTCATAATATTTTGAAGAAATTGTCATATTTGAAATTTATGAAAATTTCTTAAAAAAATGTCTTAAACTTTTTCAAGTTTTAAGTCTTGAAACATTTCAGAATTCACATATATATATAAGAGTTCTAAAAAAAGATCAATTTTCTTAGCATTTTTTAAAAGTTGTAGTTCGTATAAAAAAATCTAAGATATTTTCTAAAAAGTTATAAGTTATACAACAATTCTGATAATTACATAAGAATTCTGAAAAATTATATGAAGAATTTTAAGAAAAATATTCACCAGAAAATCGATATAATAATTAAAGTAAAAGATATACTCGTATATATGATGTAGTATTTTACATATGAGTTCTTCAGTTCGTTTTAGAACGAGATACAGATGAATCTATATAGACGTTGATCACGATTGCTTATATTAGCAATGAAGGCGCGGAACATTCCTAAGCGCCTTCAATCTCGACGATTTTATTTGACTTTGACGTCATATGCATAAATCAACGCTAAGTGATGCGCGCTACCAGATTATCTAACATAGTTGCACGTAACGAAAATTGTCCCGGTCGTTGTACCGCACGTATCTCACAAAAATTGTCTTAGGTTTATCAGCGATAACAATGAACGAGAAGAGATCTGACATCATTAAATCTAAATTGTGTATATAGTGATAGAAATTTTTACAGTTTTTATGTATTTCATTTTTTCAATTTCTTAATTTATTTTTTATTACAATTTATATTAATCGACCGTAAATATTCTTCATTATTTGTTGCAAAACTATCTTTAGTATCTACTTTCTTTAATTTTGATGTTTAATAAATTAGTTTTTATTTCTTGAGCTAACGATTTACTTTTTACTTCTATCACTTTTATTATAATTTTCTTCAATTGACTTATTCATAAAACTGTTTCAAAATCAGGAGATCAAGAATCTGTGATTGAATCTGTAATTGTCATTTTGCAGGATCCTCTTTTACACGACACAGCCCGCACATGTAATCATGATCGCCGCAGTCTTATTCGTTACATCGGTTCTTTTCCCAATCAAAGAACGAGTACAAAGCTCTAATCATTCTTACTCAAGAATGATGTCCTTTATTTATCTCACATCCTTCGTTATACACTTTGGTGCTCAAATTTGGATGACTTTTGTATCCGGTACGTATATAATTAAAAAAATATATTGAATATAGTTTTAATAAAACGATATATAAAAGGAAGTCTCGTGATCTATTTTTATAATTGATTTAAATTGACTTTCTCTGAAATAATAGTTGTACCATTTATTCGCAGGTCTGTCTTTATACTTTGCACTGCCACGACATGCATTCGGTGAAGTGCAGCGCGTTCTATTTCCAAGATACTTTACGATTAACGCGTGTTTAAGTCTTATCACGCTCCTCATATTTGTTAAGCATCATCCTACACATACATGGGACTCTGAAATTGCCGTTCAGGTATATAAATAATGCCTTAAAATATTTAAAAGATAAGATACTTTAATTTAATTAGATATAATTTAATTTTTTCTGAAACGCGTAAATAATTCGTTTTATCTTAAATAAAAATTAATTAAATTAATAAATTTAATAAATTCTCAGAAAAGGTAAAAGTGAAATTTGTGTTACGTGCAGGTTGGCGCAATGTCCGGAGCCTTTTTCCTAGAATTACTGATACGCCTCTACCTGACACCTCCGCTTCTCCAGCTGATCGTGCAGAAGAATAACTTCGAACGCGCTGCGGGCGTTGGTAATGAGATAGGCCGTCACAATCCTGGACCGCTCAAAAACTGTACGCATTACATGAAGATCCATCGAGCGTTTCGTCGAGTACATGTATGCATAGCTATGGGAAACATGCTCACTATGGCATGCACGGTACTTCATCTCTATTATATAGCGAGCAAGTTATGCGCTTTGTAAGAATAATTCCAATCAAAAAATTTATATATATGCATTTTTTTCGTGAGCTCAAAAAAGTTCTCGAAAAGAATATAGAATCTAGAAAATAATTTTGAGAAAAGCGTTGGTAGTAAGTACGTTAGTACGTGTCTCGTATGATAACGAAAGTTTAAATGCATCGGAATATTCAAAACCTGGTGCAAGATGTGATTTTTCCTGCCATTAAAATTAATTGCAAAAGACTGTATAACGAGTCTTTCAGTGCAGCTGCCTTGAATTTTAAACCTCGAATATATCGAGGTATATTGGTGTACCTTGTACTCAGTAATCTGAACTTACTCTATGTTAAAATAGAGCAAGTATTCAGAAGGCTATAATAGGTTTTATTTGCATAATGTAAGTCACGCCGACTTATCCTCAGAACGCTAGCCAATTCAGAAGAGAATCAAGCTGAAGCGAAGGTAAAAGACCAGTTTTAATACTTCTCATAAATATGATCTGCTTACAATTCGTAGTGCTGTATAAATTATTGCTGAAAGTAGTGCGAAGCGCGTGCATGTAATTTGCGAGAATGTCTAGAGATTGAGTGGACATAATTTATTCATCAGCACGAAGCGATCGAAGCTTTTATGTAAATAATATATATCTCATATGAAACTATATCGATTCATTTGTATCTGTGTATGACTTGAAATAGATATAAAATATTTTTATACATGTAATTTATATAAGCTTTTATATAAGCTTTAAGGCATGAATTCTTGCCAAAGCATATTTCTTTTATTATATCGGCGTGAGAATAATAATTAAATTCTTGCACTAAAAATGTATTAATAACTAGATCAAAGTATCTTATTTGCGATAGATAGTCGTGACTTGCTGCTTAATAACACTTCAAATTTTTTTGAAAAAAGAATATCGAATTGTTACGCGATTTTAAAATAATTATTACATTGGACGCAATAAAAATATATTTACTCTGTATCAGAGTCAATGATATTTATTGAAATTGCACACTAAAAAAATCGTATAGATATAAATGTAGTAGTGACATGAACTGAAGGAATAAATCACTTTATATCGAGTGAATTATAGGCTCATACATATACGGAGCTCATTACTGTAAATAACTGCATTCTATTCATTTAACATTTGTAAATTATGATATCTCATATAACAATATATGAGTATATAACCTTTTTTTATAATTTTTAGTCTATTAATTATTGATATACCTTCCCATAAATATCAACTCTAATCGAATATTTATGTAATACATCTTAAATTGCCAATGAATATTATATGATATAAATTAAATTGGAAGTTTAATATTCCTATCAATGACAATATAATCGTCGAGTATGCAGTATATTCGCACGATGTCATTATGATATAATAACTTCACATATAAAAAATTTACATCTATATAAAAATCTGTACATTACATACTAATAATTGCAATCACACGATCACATTCTATGAATTAATTAACGCTACAATCTAATGACCCAATCTGATTGTTCTAATAATCATTTTTTCTTGCATATATCTAACTATATGTAACTTAAGAGTGACATTTAAAATGACTGATGCATAATTAATTACATATAATGATTTAAGTATCAATAACTGAGAAACCTTAATACTGAGCAATTTCCAACAAGAGACACCGTGAATCTTTTCATTCTTGTTTAACAAATAACAAAGCCGAAATGATTCACTATGTTACATTGTGTCATCTATGTCTTTTGTTGAAAGAAAAATGTTCACTATTATGTTTATAATATTTCTATAAACATATGTACAATTGTGAAACGCATTAAATAAAATGTTTTATAGTTATTGTTTCTAAAACAAGCTATATATGTCTATTATATTAATAATAAAAAAGACATTCTAATAGCAACATTCTCTCGAATATCTCGAGATGAAATAAATGCGTTTCAGTAAAGAAGACAATTATACTCGAAGAATCTCTGCCGCTTTATTGTAACAAATGGCTATCCAATCGGGTTGCGTGGCACCCCATTGAATTTGATTGACCTCGCCTTCTGCGGCGGTATAAGCGAGTATAGGATCCTCTATTGCTCTTGGCATTTGCTGTATATCCCAGATTAAAGCCTGATGATCATCACCGGCTGTGCAAATGTGACAAGATGAATGCGGGGCCCAGGCTATTCCGTTAACACTGGCCCTGTAAAATTAAAAGGAAAGAAATTAGTCAAAAAAATTTCTTAATCTTCCAAAGTTGATGACATGATCAAAATAGACCAGAATTTACTGGACCCATTTAATTATAGTCTTCCTATATAATACAGATTTTTATGAGTAAAAATAATTCAGCGAACTGATGTTAAGATAAAAAATACATTATATTCAAATTTACTACTATTATGTAGTTCTCTTAATTCTTGTATCTATTACTGTAGTAATTGCTATTTTATATAAAAATGTTAAATAATTTAATTTTCTTTTTTTTGTCACATCTGCAAATTTGAATTATTTTTATAAAAATAAACACTTAGCTTATTCTTTCTATTATACGAGTTATGTTATTTAAGTGCTTTGAAATTAATTAGTGTCTTTTAATCAACATAAATTAAATGGGTTTCGCAGAGTCAGTATGAGTAACTGTGTTAGATTTTGACGTTAGCTTCGGAAAAAAGAAATTCAATATTACAAATATTTCTAGCATTATAATATTAACTTGTATATTATATTGTATATATAAATAATAATATTAAATCATTTTATATTGACCTGTGATTATTCAATCTTGCGACTGGCGTGCACGGTACTCGAACATCTAGAATGATGACTTCGCAAGCGTCCATCGCTACAGTAGCGAGATAATTAGGATCCTGCTTGTTCCACGCTAATCGCAACAACGGAGTGTGCTGCGGATCCTCATAGATAATTGTCGAATGCTCCAAGTGTCGTAGATCAAACATCCTCACGGATCCATCAGCACCGACAGAGGCGAACATGTCGCGGCCACCTCCGGCACGACTGAACGCGATATCATATACTTCCTTGTCGTGTGCAATCAATTGCGTTTTCACATGACCGGTGACCGCTGACAAGTTTGAGACTCGACCCATAGGCTGCCCTGTCTCCAGTCCCCAAATTGTACAAGTGGTATCGATGCTGGAAGTTCCGATTAGATTGGGATCCACTTCGTTCCAGTCGAAAGATGTAAGCGGTGCACAGAAATCTGAGTTCTTATTATTATTCAGGACACACTCCAAACGAGTCTCAGGTTCTGCAGCACGCCATACTCTCAGATAATCACCGGATGTGGCAAGAAGATCAGGAAGTTGACCTGGTAAGAATTTTATTTATTAAGTAGTGCAGCACAGCATAGCTACTTTATAATCTCACTACTTTATAATTAAATCACTTTGAAATTTTAGTGTTAGTCTGACCATCTGACTGTTCATCTGCAAAATTTCTCAGAAACGACTTAACTTTTTCGAATTCTGTTTATAGATATGCAATAGATATCTAAGGACCTTAATCTATCAAGCAAAATATAAAATCAGTTGCTTACAAGGAGATAAGAAGATTAAAGGTCGAGATCAATGAAATTCTTCTATTAGTTATAGATTTTTTGCTGCACAGTTATATTTTTAGTTACATCCATTGCAAAGAATTTATTTGATTATTGACATAAAAATCGCAAGAAAATTGAATGTATATATAATAAGTACCTTTGCTGTCAGGGATCCACATAATTTTTGTAGTAGGATAAGGATGGTCAAATGTACTTTTAGCACTGAATTCAGATGTTTCTTCATCTAGTGAAACAATTTGTACTTTGTTATTGTACTCCTCTACAAAGCTTCCCAGTGCTAGACGAAATCTCTTGTCAGGCCTTACCGACCAGTTCATACTGTACAATGGCCATGGCGCCTCGTACTTGTAGATTTCTTTTCGTTTTGGTGGTATGGTATGCATAGCCATGATGCCCTGATATTCCTGCTTCTGTTGGACCAAATATCATTTGACATTAATTTAACAGAAATATTTCGATAAAAAAGAAAACTTCTTTTATAGGAATTCTTTTATAGGAAGAAAAATATAAAATGTATCAGTAATACAAATTCAATTTGCTTATTCTTAAGAGATAGAAAAAAAATAACAGCAAAGCCAATTGACAAGCATAAGGATAAAAAATATAATTTATATGTAAATTTATTAATGCAAATTAAAATGTTAATACAATTGATGAAAAAATTTATCTACTAACCTGATAATTGTATATTACACGAAATTGATCACCACGAATAATCTGACTGCCAAGAAATTAAATCTTTATGACCATCATATCGCTGGGAAAAATAAGATCAAACATAAAGAATCCACATATACGTCGCGTCTACAATAAAAACCACAGAAGGTCGAATGAAGAAAGTTGTTCGATAAACGCCGTAGCTAATATTCTGAAAATAAAATGACGTCCTTTCAGATATCAACTGCAAGCGACTGTTGAAATCATTTAAATTCTTTCTCGAATTAATTGCAGTTTCCTCTATTTATGAAAAAATGTACCGAATCTCATAAATAATATAATGTTTTACAGTTTCATAAACAATACGACCTACGACACTGTCACTATTGGTCACTATGCCCAATGTGGCCAACTGTGGCAGTGTGCATTCCACAGAATACATCATGGTGGAAGCAGAGAGAACTTAAAAGGAGCTATGCCGGCTTTTTTTCCCTATTGAACTGACCCATTTACTTTCGATGATACGATATTTCATCGATAGTATCAGAAAATCTATGTAGTCATGTAATTCCCAAGCTGAAAATGGATGTACTAGCAGTAAGTAATGTATGGACGATTTCGACAGTAACAGGAGAAAAGCCGGCATGTGTGGAACTTCTCTCTCTTAGGTTTCTCTCTGATAGAGATGGGTGCTTTCCATTTAATATTTTAATGACACAAGTCGACACAAGAAGTCGTTCCATCCTTGACATTCAGAGAGTGACGAAGATAGAACGATACTTGCGTCGTCAAATGGAAAGCACCCATAATCGATTATTCTTCTCATATTCGATTGTGATCAATTTCTTAAGAAGACTTAAGGTATGTACGGACTTTACGGATGTATATCAATTACCCACATCACTGATGGGATAATTTCAAATAATGTAATCTCATTGGTGAAATAATGAAAAATTACTAGGAATAGACCAATGTGGTGTGTGCAATTGAACTGCAATGAGGCTGCACACTTAGTAATTTTTAATAATTTTCAGCATAATTGAATTTAACGTATTACAACTGTATATTATTAGGAATATACATTATATGCGCTTCTCAGAGAAGCCAGAAAAGAAGTTGGAGATTTAAAGCAACCAATTTACGTGAATTCACGCGAACTGGAATTGCTGGAAATGGCTGGAAACACCACGCTGGTGGTGGAATCCAATTGTCTAAAAAAAGGATCGATATTTCGCCGTCTCTATATTCGTTTCTCTCTCTCTATTTTCCTCCCTCATTGCCATCATTAATGACAAAACTCATTTCGAGCGCGAAAATAGACAGAATTGGAGGGAACGCCTAAAACACAACTCAAAAACGTATCTGAGAACGTACGGATTGAATCTACGTTAAAATGACGTGTTGTGCGTTATCGCGCGTGTCGTCATATGAATTTAAGGTGCGATTTTCTCAATCCGTTTAATATTTCTGACAGGAGGAATCGAAGGGTAACTACTTCGATATAATCGAGAAAATAACCGAGACTGAGTAAATAAGGGAAACAAATTCTTTCATGTACTCGTGAATAAGCACGGGTATAAGTATATA